CATTGATGAGTTAAGAGCGAAAATTGCCTATCTTGAAAACCGGATTAAAGAATTAGAATACAGGGAAAAGGAAGCAGGAGAAAGACTCCAGATTGAAAAACAAAGTGCTAAAGAAAAGGTTGAAACTTTGATTGAAAATATAAAGTACATATATATATTTTTTTTCGTTAAGATTTGCCAATACGAATACAATATAATTTTATTTAATATTTCTAATTGACTTTAATGAATATGTAGAGACATTGAAACTCAATTACAAGCTCAGAATCGTAGGAATACTCAATTGCAAGAAATGATTTCTATGCAAAAGGCTTCAATGGAGGAGGTAAAAATATTACTTGATCTTTGACTGCGATCTGCATTTCAATTTATGTAAACTTGTAAATTGTATGTTAACTTAAATATACATATATTCAGGCTACGAATGAATCAAAGGTTAGGGCAGCTAAGGTAGAAAATACATTTGCAATGTTAAATGAACAGCTTCGCGAACAATTGGATGAAAAGAATAAAACTATTGAAAATGAGCGACAGAGAGTTAAGAATTTAGAAGAACAAGTGAGACATCGTACTCTGAATTTGATGTTATTCTTGTGTCTGAAAGTATATACTTATGTTGTGTCGATTCATATGTAAATAGTTTTCTTGTATGCTTGAAGAACAAAAACGGTTACATTCACAGATTGAACGGAGAGAAACCACAATTAACAAAGTTCTCAGTGGGCTACAAGTACGTGTAATTTTTAGATTCCTTGTTTTTAATTTAATTCTTGCGAAAAATTTAAAAATTAAATTTGAATGCAGATGATCAACCAACGAAAAGATGTGATGGAAAATGCGGCATTGAAAAATTTAACAGAGGATATGCAAATTACGTTGTCGCTTGACCGAAAACCCTCTTACCAACCTCCCGTTAATATTAATCCGCCTTGGAAACCGGCTGGCACTAATTTCAACTCAACTTCTAAAAAAACTATAGTGAGAAATTCATCAACTAAATCATCATCCATTCCAGTCTCTTCTTTAAAATCAAGAGGTGTAAGTTCTACTAAATCATCAATA